AAAATAAAATAAATAAAAATAGGTATCCTAACAAGCTAATATCTAGTTTTTATTTATAACAAAAAAAAAATTTGTTTTATATTAATTACTTATTTTAATTTTATTTATTATCTATTTAATATATGTATCTAATCAAACTAAAATTAAATTTGCATTAACACGAAATAGTAATTAAAGATTTAAGTAAAATAAAATAAATATAAATAATTATAAAATAAATATATTAAATTAAAGGCCCTAAGTAGGCGCACAATTCAAGCAGTAAGAGAGAAAACAAAAACGAAAATTCTGAAATGGAGAAGGCGTTTCGCCTTACACTTCAAGTCAAGGGAGAGAGTGTAGAGGTCCGCAAGTAAATTCTAATCATATATTTTGTTATCTGTAATTTATAATTTTTTGAAACGATTCTTTTTAAATATGTGTTTCTTTGGCATCGTAACGCGTTTCTTGATCATTGTCTTTGGTATACTGCTGCCGGCTCGCTACACCCACAATGCGCTTGGCAAGGACGAATTGAACGGCTGGGCCAAATATTGGATTGTCTACGCATGCCTGGTGACCATCGAGCTATTTGGCGATACGTTCCTCCACTGGGTACCACTGTATATGGAGTCGAAGCTCTTGATTGTACTCTGGCTGGTTGTGACGGCGCCACAGGCCAGCGTCTGGGTCTTCGATTCGATTCTGAACCCATTGCTGCAGCGCTATATGCCGCGCATCGATAACTTCGTGCAGTACGGCAAGCGCAATTTGATGGCCGATTTCATGAGCTACGCCACGCAGATATGCGTCAAGTGTCTGGATGCAATATTGCCCGTGATCTCAAGACTGTGGAAGAAGCAACTGAAGGCGGTTGTCCCACACATTCCGCAGGTGCTGGACTCGGCCACCGAGGCGAATAATCCTCCGTTTCAAGACCGGGATGCGACCAACCATAGAAATGTCTTGTATGACTCCAGTTTGAACGAAGACGAGATGGATGACACACTGCCGCTCTCATACTCAAACTCCATGGTCCCGAATCAAAGGAAACTATCGAAACTTTCGCTGCAGACAGAGCTGAATACGAAATTGAGCGATAAGCCAAATCGAGGTCACCGACGGCAGCAATACGTCCCGGAATTGCCCAACGACGACTCGAACCAATATGAAGATCCGCTCCTAGGCATGGAGGACCTGCTGAAAAGCGAACGCCATGCCATTGAAATGCAAAATCGTACAATGACCGTGCGCAAGGACAATCGTCATCGCATCTAGTTCAGAGTTTATCAGAACAGGCAAACAGCATTACGTATTTCTATAAATTCTTTGTTAGACGATCATTCACTATTCGACGTAAGATCTGGCACGGGGTGTTCGGTCCATAAATATTTGTTTTGAATCTTATCTCCTTGTTTTAAATTTAAGAGTGAAAAAA